AAGGAGGAGATCGCGAATGACTGTGCGAAAAATATGGTTAAGAAACCCAGTTAATCAGATCCAGATATTTACCGTCAAATCAGCCTACAATCCGTTCCTACAAAAGTGATCGTATGTTTCATCTTAAACAGAATAAGACAACCTCGTGAAAAGATCTTAGGGGAGGGGCATTCTGGATTCATGGCAGGCAGAGGATGTTTTGAGAGATATTCACAGTAAAACAGTTAAAGTATTTCGTTCTTATGTCGGTGGTCAGACTGAACAAAAGTAGCGTAAAACAGGGTTTACTAATGTATAATGCTAAAGATAAGATGGTCTGTCCAATCAATGACCAATGAACGTGTTTCGGCCCGGATCTCATGGGCTTTCTTCAAGATAAGTTGGTGATGATGAGGTTTCGTGAATGTGGTTGGTTGTTCGCGGCAGTTGATGGTTTCAGAGCCAGAAGGCAGGCTTCGGTCCTTGCTGCTGGTTAAGTAGTTTTTGGATAACATGGACAACGAAGCTCATCCAATCCGCGTACTGTTAGTACCCTTCGTGACGGTTCACGTTTTCGCAGAATTCGATGATTAATGCCTCTGTTATCCGCCTGTGTAGTCAATGACTCTCTTTGATCATGCCACTACATTCAAACCTTGGGAGTGGGGTGTCATTGCTTCGCTGCATGACGCATAATTCAGGAAGTCTTCTCGCACATTTTCCCTGACTTTCCTGGTAGTGAGGCATTTTTACCTTCCTGGGTGCCTCATTACCACCTGTACCTCATGCTTTTCTGCGATCATCTATTTTCTCCAGATTGATAGGTGGGTCTTTGTTCTCTGCGGATTCTTCTGCGTAATATTTCCCGCAGTTACGCTGTAATTTGTAAACCCAGCCTAGAGAGTTATTAGTCTCACATTTATTTGTAATGCATCAAGTTTATTAGAGCTTCGATGCATAACATTAATATTTTATGTAGTGTTAAGTAATCTTTGTAACTTTTTAATAATGTTTTTAAGATTCCTTAGAATTAAGGTTTATTATTAGTCATGTTATGAATCTTTTGGTAAGTCACAAACGGGAAGACAATGTAGAAAATACTCTGAAGAGGGATCGAGCTTGGTTCGAAACGTCAGATGTCCCTAATTAAAGAACTTGTTATGCGTAGTCTTCCTGTTTGTGACTTACCGAAAGATTATATCAGCTCACGCATAAAGAAATTAAGTATTTTTTTCAATAGTAGTCTTATTAATGTTACAAATAGTTTTCAAGTGGCCCATTTCACTGATTATAATGTTATTGACGAATCAAGCTATATAATTATTATTATTGTATAAGGTTAATTTATGTCATCTTCAAGAAATCCATTACTACAGAGCTTCAGGACTCTGTTTGTGCTTTACGCTACTTTTTCAGTGATACAGCCAGTGGAAAAAATATATAATATGGACTGAAATTCTTTTCAATCTTCGTTGATTACACTAAAAGGAAAAATAATGGAATCGTTTCGCAGTCAGAATATCGGTGTTCGTTCCTTTTCATGATCTGACCATTTTGGCACCCTTCTTTTCATGATCTGTCAAGCGTTGTGTCTAGTCTCCTGTTTCCTGCGCATAGAAATACTCATTTGTCAACTTCAGAAGGTAGAAGGAGAGTGACCCCGACCGGGCACCGAATTCGGGACTTTTCAGCTCTGAGTTCGACGCCTTACTGACTGAGGAACCCTGGTCTGAACAAGTGTGTGGCAACTTCTTTGCTCAAGGGAGTTCGCAAATAGGCGCAAGATATCCGCTGAGCGGTATCGACCCGCACCTCTGGTGTTTGATGCAGACCTCCGACTCTGTGCCACAATGATTTGACCAAAGCGCTTTATCCATCAGGAGTGATGCATTTGGAAAGTTTGTGATGACTATGGAGCCTCACAAATGATTATTGGCATAATTACAGTGATGTATGATTTTTTTTCAAGCACGGTGGGAGCTGATTGCAGATTCAGCAAAATATGCTGTGTAACATTTGCAGTAATGCAAGGAAAATTTCCACTGCTGGTTGCAATATTTCTTGACTGGGTAGAACACCCAGTGGTTACGATGGCAAGAGTGGGAAAATATCTGCGAGAATTCCGTTGCCTTAGCGGATGATATCGTGTTGCTTGCAGACAACTTCGAAACGGCGACATCGCTTTGTTCCGATCTGGGTCTCTCAACAAACTTAAATGGAGCAAACTGGATGGCAGCTTGAAGTGACCATTCGAAAGACTGACTATCCTTGCCACCGAAGCAGTTGCAGAAATGGTGCTAAAACTGGGAGTACACTCGCCCCGGAGAGACGAGTGACAGACGAAGCTAAGAGATGAGGGTGAAGAAGCAAGTTGTTCAAACTCTGGAAGAACGATGCTGACAATTGCAGAAAGCAGCGGATGAACGGAGCTTACATCCTGAACATCGTTCCTCATGGCTTAAAGATGACAGCGCCTAGCAAAACGGGAGACAGAAAATTGGAGGCTGGAGGAATGAAGATTTTAGGATCAATGTTGGAAGTGAGGTGACAAGGTGTGGTGTCAAATACTGTTCTAAGAGGAATTAGAATATTCGACTGAAGTCACGACTGGAGGCAAGCAGGTCTAAGGTGCTGGAGCCATATCAACGAATGGACGATAGTCGCTTTGCGAAGCGAATACTGAACTCAGAGAAGGACGGCAAGCAGCCGT